TTTTGCCCGTTTTAAAAGCTGGGTTTCCTTGAGTTTTGAGAGTACTCTATATATTCTGGGCCTAAGTCCTTCATCAGATATGTGATGTGTAAATGTTTTCTACAAGTCTGTGGCTTGCTTTTTCATTCTTTTACCCATATCTTTCAAAGAGAAGTTCTTAATTTTGATAATATATAATTTATACTCTCTTAAAAATGAATTATATGCCTTTGGTGTCTTATCTAAAAAATACATTTATCCCAAGGCCATAAAGATGTATATTTTCTTCATATAGTTTTATACTTTGAGATTTTACAATGAGGTCTGCAATCCATTTTGAGTTTTTGTATTAAGTGTGATGTATAGATTGAGATTTTTTTTAAAAAAACATATGAATATCTAATTATTTCAGCACCATTTATTGAAAGAGACTATTCTTTCTCCATTAAATTATCTTTGCCTTTGTCAAAAAATATTTGACCACAAGGACAGGCCATGGCTCACTCGGGAGAGTGCGGTGTTGATAACATCAAGGCCACAGGTTCAGATCCCTATATAGGATGGTGCTGACAACACCAAGTTAAGGGTTAAGATCCCCTTACCAGTCATCTTTAAAAAAAAAAATTATTTGACCACATATGTGTGGATATTTTTTTTTATCCTTTGTTCTATTCCATTGATCAATATACCTATCTCCATTACCACAGTGTCTTTACTGTAGCTTTACAATAGGTCTGGAAATCAGGTAGTGTGAAGCCTTCAACCTTACTCTTCCTTTTCAAAATTATTTTGGCTGTTCCAGTTTCTTTGCCTTTCTATGTAATTTTAGAATTAGCTTGTCAGTTTCTATTAAAAATTGTGCTGGGATTTTTCAGAATTACTATGAATTATATATCAGTTTGGGGAGAACTGATGTTTTGATATTGAGTCTTGTAATCTATAAATATGGAATATCTCTTATTTAGGGCTTCTTTGATTTTTTTAATCAGTGTCTTAATTTTCAGCATTCAGATCATGCAAGTATTTCATATTTTTGGAGCTATTTGATGATAATTTTTTGTTTCAATTGATAATTGTTTATTGCTAATATATTGTTGCATTTGGGATTAAGTTTCCAATACATGAACTTTTGGGGGGCACACTTAAACCATAGCATTTTTACATTTAGGAATTTTTTTTTTTTTACCAACTTTTAATAGAATTTCAGTGACTAAACAAGGAACTAGGAAATGCTGTAGTAATTTGTGGAGCTGAATACACGTGGCTTTGAATAACACATTACATAAGGAGTAGCATATAGCATTATAGTAAGTGACTCAAATGACCAAAAGTTATTCAGTAATGATTTCCCTCCTATTTTGGCTTCGTATGTTATTTTATTTTTGTAGTAAGGTTATGTTTATGTACTAAATATTGGTAGCCTTTTCACCACCAAGAAACATATATGGATAATACTCGGTTCAGCAAATATTAAGGAAATATTAAAATGACACTATTTCAAAAGCACAAAATGAAATTCACAGAAGCAATTAGAATTCACAGGTAAATTCTATCAAATATTGAAGGATCAAATAATCTTAAGCTTACACAAACACTTCCAGAATAGTAAAAGAGAAAATATTCTCCAACTCATTTTATGAAATTAGCATAGGCTTGGTACCAAAACCCAATAAGAATGGTATGAAAAATACCAGCACAAAATATTAGAAAATATTTTGAACAGAATAAAAATGATAACACAGTATATCAAAATTTGTGGGATGCAGCCTAAGCAGTGTTTAGAGAATTTATAGCACTATAAAGCCTATAGTAGACAAGAGGAAAGATCTTAATAATGTCAACAAATCCAAAGTACAGAGAGAGAATAAAGATGATATGAGACGTGATGGCATACGAAACAGAAAAACGATAGAGAAAATAAGACCAAAATTTGGTTCTCTGAGGACATCAATAAAATTTATAAACCTCTAGCCAGACTGATCAGGAAAAAATAGAGAAGAAACAAATTAAACAATATAAAGAATGAGAGAGGTCACATAACTACAAAACCTATACATATTAAAAGGATTATAAGGCAATATTATGAAAACCTTATGCTCATAAATTCAACAACTTAAGTGAAATAGACAAATTCCTTGAAATACACTAACTGAAGCTTACAGAAGAAGAAATAAATAGCCTGAATATCCTTATATCTACTAAGAAAAACTCCAGGCCTAGATGGCCTCTGGTAAATTCTGTCAAACATGAATGAGAAGACAAAGACAATACAAGAGAAGAAAATCATGGACCAATATCTCTCATAAACATAGGTGGTAAAATTGTAAGCAAAATTTTAACAAATCAAAACCAATTCTATACAAAGAGGGTAAAACTTCATGAGTAAGTGGGGGTTTATCCCAGAAAGCAAGGATGGATAAACATTAAAAAATTATACAATATGAATCACCATATAACCATACTGAAAAGGAAAAACCATATGTTTATCTCAGTAGATGCTATCTATTGCTGTGTATCAAATTGCTGCAAAATATAGTGGCTTCAGACAACTAATATTTATTATTTCGGTTTTTGTGTGTCAGGAATCTGGATGCAGCTTAGCTGGGTAAGCTCAGAGTTTCTCACAAGGGTGCAATGTAGGTGTTGGCTGGGTTGCATTCATCTCAAGGCTTGATGGGAAAGGGTCTTCTTCCAAGCTCGCTCGTGATTGTTGGCAAGATTCCATTTCCTTTGGCTTAGTTGGACTGGAGGCCTCAGTTCAATGCTGGCTGATATCTGAAGGCTGTCCTTTGTGCCCAAGTAGGCCTCCTCATAAGGAAGTTCACAGCATGACAGCTTGTGTCATCAGAGCAAGTGATAGAGAACAATGAGAGAGTTCACAATGGTGGAAGTCACAGTCTTTTGTAAGTTAATCTTGAAAGTGACACTTTATCACTTTCTTCAGAAGGGACACAAGCAACAGAAAAAAAAATAGGCAAGTTGGACTTCATCAAAATTAAAAACTTCTGTATGTTGAAGGAGACTATCAAGAAAGTAGAAAGACAACTCAGAATCAGAGAAAATATTTGCAAATTATATATAATAAGGATCTAGTATCTAGAATATATAATAATTTTTATATGTTTATAATTATTATATATCCTCAAAAATAAAGACGAACAACCCAATTAGAAAATAGTCAAAGGATTTTAATAGATATTTCTCCAAAGAAGATATAAAGATGGCAAATAAACACATGAAAAGATACATAACATCATTATTCCTTAGGAAAATGGAAAGTAATATCACAATGAGATATCATTATTCAGCTATTCAAATCGATAAAATTTAAAAACTGACCATAACAAGTGTTATTAAGAATATGGAGCAACTAGAACTCACATAAAGCACTGGTGGGAACATAAAATGATACAACTACTTTGGAAAACATTTCATCAGTTTCTTTCTTTTTTTTTTTTTCTTTTTTCGTGACCGGCAACGGATCGCAACCCTCAGTGTCGCGCCCGTACCGGACCGGGACCGGCAACAGGATCGCAACCCTCGGTGTTGCGCCCGCACCTTGCTCAGCCAGTGAGCAGCCGGTCTGTATGTGGGATCCGAACCCTCGGTGGGAGCGCCACTGCGCTCCCAAGCGGCGCACTGTAGCAGTGCGCCACCGGGCCGGCCCCTCGTCAGTTTCTTAAAAAGTTAAATATGCATTATCATTTGATCCAGCTACTCTAGTTATTTACTTAAGACTTCTACAGATATTCATAGCTGCTTTGTACTAACCCCCCAACTGGAAACAATCCAAATTTCCATCAATAGGCGAATGGGTAAAGAAATTGTAGTATAAATTTTAAACTTTAAATATATGAAGCTCATTGCATGTCAATTATACCTCAATAAAATTGTAAAAAAAAATAAATAAAAAGAGGGCCGGCTCGGTGGCGCACTGGAGAGTGCACCGCCTGGGAGTGTGGCGGCACTCCCGCCAAGGGTTCGGATCCCATGTGGAGACCGGTTCCCGCTCACTGGTTGAGCGCAGGGTGGGCGCAACACCGAGGGTTGCGATCCCGTTGCTGGTCCCCGGTGCGGGTGTGACACCGAGGGTTGCGATCCCGTTACCGGTCAGTAAAAAAAAAAAAAGACAAAAAGGGAAAAAAAAAAAGAAGAATCCTCAAAGATTGCTTGAACAAGACATAAAAAGGTGTCTATAAAGGAAAAGTTGAGTAAATTTGGCTACATTAAAATTAAGAACTTTGACCTCTATCTTACACTATACACAAAAATCGACTCAATATGGATTAAAGACTTAAATGTAGACCTGAAACTATAAAACTCCTAGAAGAAAAAGAGGGAAAGCTTTAGAACATTGGTCTTTTTTTTTTTTTTTTTTTTTTTTTTTTTTTTTTTTTTTTTTTTTTTTTTTTTTTTTTTTTTTTTTTTTTTTTTTTTTTTTTTTTTTTTTTTTTTTTTTTGAGTCCGGCAATGGATTGCAACCCTCAGTGTTGCCCCCGTACCGGACCGGGGACCGGCAACGGGATCGCAAGCCTCGGTGTTGCTCCCGCGCCTCGCTCAGCCAGTGAGCGGGAGCCGGTCGGTATGTGGGATCCGAACCCTCGGACGGGAGCGCCACCGCGCTTCCAAAGCGGAGAACATTGGTCTTTACAGTGATTTCTTGGATATAACACCAAAAGCATGGGCGACAGAAGCAAAATAGATAAATAGGACTACATCAAACTAAAAAGATTCTGCACAGCAAAGGAAATAATCAACATAGTAAAAAGGGAACTTAGGGAATAAGAGAAAATATTTGAAAACTGTACATCTGGTAAGGGGTTAACATCCAAAATATTATAAGGGATTTGAACAACTCTAGCAAGAAAGCAAATAACATCTTTATATTTCTCAAAGCTTTTAATAGAAAGCTTTTAATATTTGTTCATTGGTGTTTTAATGTTTTCATATATTCCTTTTCTTTAGACTTATCCCTTTCCTGTGCGAAAAGATAAGGTAGTTACTTTCTTTTTTCATTACAGGTTTTTAGCCACTGATGTTACTAATAATAAAATATTGGAGCATAGAGTTGAGGAAAAGACTTAAACCAGGTAGGTAATAATAAAAGAGTAGAAAGAGAATAAAAGTCTAAGGAAACAATAAAACTACCATTCATTTTTATAAAGGACATTATTGATATAATCAACAAAATTGGAATATGATTTGTTGAGTACTGTATGAAAATTGTTTCCTAAATTTGATAATTGTACTGTGATTATATAAGAGAATATTGTGAAGTATTTAGGGTGAAGGTGAATGATGTATGCAACTTTCTTTCAAATGGTTCAGAAAAAAATCAATTATAGGTAATGTCAGAGAGTGGGTTTGCTAAAGTTTTGAATCAGTAGGAAATCATTTATTGTCATTGGAAGTATAAATTGGTCCAACCTTTCTGGAGAGCACTTTGGCAGTTTGTACAGTAGGCCCCCCTTACCTGTGGTTTTTCTTTGTGCATGTTCAGTTACCTGTGGTCAACTCCAGTCCAAAAATTTTAATGAAAAATTCCAGAAATAAACAATTCATAAATTTTAAATGGTATTCCATTCCGAGTAGCGTGATGAAATCTGGTACTGTCTCACTTCATCCCCCCTGGGATGTGAATCATCCCTTTGTCCAGCTATCTACATTGTAGACGCTAACCTGCCTGTTAATCACTTGGTAGCCATCTCAGTTATCAGAACGACTGTCACTGTATCACAGTGCTTGTGTGTAGGTAACCCTTATTTTACTTAATAATGGCCCCAAAGTGCAAAAGTAGTGATGCTGGCAATTTGGATATGCCAAAGAGAAGCTGGAAAGTGGTTTCTTTAAGTGAAAAGGTGAAAGTTCTTGACTTCATAAAGAGAGGAAAAACATTATATGCTGAGGTTGTTAAAACCTAAGATAAGAATGAATCTTCTATTCATGAGATTGGGAAGGAAGAAAAGAAATTCCTGCTAGTTTTGCTGTTGCACCTCAGACTGCAAAAGATATGGCCACAGTGTATGAAGTACTTAGTTAAGACAGAAAAGGCACTGTAATTGTGGGTGGAAGACATGAACAGATGTGTTCCAGTTGATGGCGGTCAGGTTCAATACTATCCAAGATTTCAGGCATCCACTGGGGGTCTTGGAACATATCCTTTGAGGATAAGGGGGTACTACTCTCTCGATTTTTTTAAATAGTTTAGCTCAGCCAGCATACTCTCTCTCCTAGAGTAATTGCAGGAAGACTGCAAAAAGATCTGTGTATGAGAATGTTATATCAGAATGTTTTAGGGAAATTGGCAACAAGCTAAATATGTAATAATATGAGAACAATTAAATAAATATAATTAAGTACTGTGGAAGCATTAAAAATGATGTAAATCTCTATTGACTCAATGTATAACATTTTTAAGTATCAAAGCAGTCTACTAAATCAGCATTAATAGTATTAACTTGTCTTTGTTTTCAAGAAAAGTGCATATACACAGATACATAAGTGTATATAAAAATCACACACATGTATACATACATGCACATATGCATATATATGCACACATACATATATACATATACATGTGTATTTGTACATAGATATTTGGAAAGATGACACCTGTATGTCGCCAGTGGTTATCTTATTTTTATTTTATTTTACTTTTTATTTTTTATTTTAACTTCTCAATATATAGTGCAGTTGATTTTTGCATCCCTTTACCTGTTCCCCTTTCCCCCACCCACTACATCCTGTTTACTTGCCTTAACAAGTTCAAGGAATTCTTGTGATTGTTGTTTCTTCTTCCCCCACCCTACCCTTTATTTGTTTGTATATCTATTTATTTATTTTTAGCTCCCAAAAATAAGTGAGAACATGTGGTATCTCTCTTTCTGTGCCTGACTTGTTTCACTTAATATAATTTTCTCTAAGTCCATCCATATTGTTGCGAATGGTAGTATTTCATTCTAATTTCTAGCAGAGTAGAATTCCATTGTGTAGACATACCACAATTTCCTTATCCATTCATCTGATAATGGACATTTGGGATGGTTCCAACTCTTGGCTATTGTGAATAGTGCTGCAATAAACATGGGAGTACAGATATCCCTTCGACATGATGATTTCCATTCCTCTGGGTGTATTTCCAGCAGTGGAATAGCTGGGTCATATGGTAGATCTATCTGTTATTGTTTGAGGAACCTCCATACTATTTTCCATAAAGGCTACACCATTTTGCAGACCTACCAACGGTGTATGAGAGTTCCTTTTTCTCTACAACCTCGCCAACAATAATCATTCTCAGTCTTTTGGATATTAGTCATCCTAACCGAAGTGACATGGTATCTCAGAGTGGTGTTGATTTGCATTTCCCCAGTGCTGAAAGACATTGAGAATTTTTCATGTGTCTTTTGGCCATTCGTATATCTTCCTTTGAGTAATGCCTGTTCAGCTCCTTTGTCCATTTTTTAATTGGGTTATTTGTTTTTTTGCTGTAAAGTTGTTTCAGTTCCTTGTATATTCTGGATACTAATCCTTTGTCAGCTGTGTATTTTGCAAATATTTTCTCTGACTCTGTTGGTTGTCTTTTCACTCTGATGACTGTTTCTTTTGCTGTGCAGAAGGTTTTTAGTTTGATATAATCCTATTTGTTTATTTTTCCTTTGGTTGCCTGTGCTTTTGGGGTCATATTCATGAAGTCTGTACCCACTTTTACTTCTTGGAGTGTTTCCCTTATGTTTTATTTAAGAAGTTAATTGTTTCACAGAGTATATTCAATTCTTTAATACATTTTGAGTTGATTTTGGTATGTGGTGACAGGTATGGGTCTAGTTTCATTCTCCTGCATATGAATATCCAGTTTTCCGAGCACTATTTGCTGAAGAGGCAGTCTCTTCCCCAGTATGTAGACATGGTGCCTTTGTCAAAGGTCAGATGGCTGTAGGTGTATAGGTTGATTTCTAGATTCTCTATTCTATTCCATTGATCCGTGTGTCTGTTTTCATGCCAGTACCATGCTGTTTTGGTTATTATAGCTTTGTAATATAGTTTAATGTCAGGTAGGGTTATGCCTCCAGTTTTATTTTTTTTGCTCAGCATTGCTTTGGCTATGCGTGGTCTTTTGTTATTCTATATAAGTGTCTTGATAGTTTTTTCCATTTCTGAGAAAAATGTCATTGGAATCTTCATGGGGATAGCATTGAATCTGTAGATCACTTTGGGTTATATGGACATTTTCACCATGTTAATTCTTCCGATCCAAGAGTGTGGGATATCTTTCCATCTTCTTGTGCCCCCTTTAATTTCTCTCAACAGTGGTTTGTAGTTCTCTTTGTAGAGATTTTTCACTTCCTTGTTGTACGTTATTCCTAAGTATTTTATATTTTTGGTGGCTATTGTAAATGGGCTAGCTTTCTTGATTTCTTTTTCTGCATGTTCACTGTTGGAGTACAGAAGTGCTACTGATTTTTGCATGTTGATTTTGTATCCTGCAACTTTGCTGAAATCATTTATCAACTCTAAGAATTTTTTTGTAGAGGCTTTAGGCTGATCAATATATGGGATCATATTATCTGCAAACAGGGACAGTTTGACTTCATCTTTTCCAATCTGGACCCTTTATTTCCTTTTCTTCCCTGATTGCTCTGGCTAGTACTTCCAAAACTATGCTGAATAGGAGTGGTGAGAGTGGGCATCCTTGTCTAGTTCCTGTTCCTAAGGGAAAAGCTTTCAGCTTTCTCCATTCAGAATGATACTGGCAGTGGGCTTATCATATACGGCTTTAATTGTGTTGATATGCTTTCCATCTATACCTAACTTGTACAGAGTCTTTATCATGAACTGTTGAATTTTGTCAAATGTTTTTTCAACATCTATAGAGATGATCATATGGTTTTTGTATTCCCTTTTATTGATGTGGTGTATCACATTTATTGATTTGCATACGTTGAAGCAAGCTTGCATCCCTCGGATGAATCCCACTTGATCATGGTGGATAATTTTCTGTATGTGTTGTTGTATTCTGTTAGCTAGTATTTTATTGAGGATTTTTCCATCTATACTAATCAAGGGTATTGGCCTGTAGTTTTCTATTTTTTTTTTTTCCTTTTTGTCTTTTTTTTTTTTCGTAACCGGTAACGGGATTGCAACCCTTGGTGTCGCGCCCGCACCGCGCTCAACCAGTGAGTGGACCGGTCTCTATATGGGATCCGAACCCTCGGCGGGAGCGCCGCCACGCTCCCAAGCGCCACACTCTACCAAGTGCGCCACCGGGCCGGCCCTGTACTTTTCTATTTTTGGTGCATCTTTGTTTGGTTTTGTTATCAGGGTGATGTTTGCCTCATAGAATGAGTTTGGGAGAATGGCCTCTGTTTCAATCTTTTGGAATAGCTTGCAGAGTACTGGTATCAGTTCCTCTTTGAAGGTTTAGGTAGAACTCTGCAGTGAACCCATCGGTCCTGGGATTTTCTTTGTTGGGAGCCTTCTGATAACAGCTTAAATATTTTTTATTGTTATTGGTCTGCTCAGATTTTCTATATCTTCTTGGCTCTGTTTTGGTAGTTTGTATGTGTGCAGAAATTTATCCATTTCCTCCAGATTTTCAAATTTTTTGGCATATAGTTGTTTATAGTAGTTGCTAATGATTTCTTGTATTTCAGATGAATCAGTTGTAATGTCACCTTTTTCATTTCTGATTTTTGTTATTTGGTTCTTCTCTCTTCTTGATTAGCTTTACTAGAGGTTTATCAATATTATTTATCTTTTCAAAAAACCAACATTTTGTTTAATTGATCTTTTGTATCATTTTTTGGGTTTCTATTTCATTAAGTTTGCTCTGATCTTAATTATTTCTTTCCCTCTGCTAACTTTGGGTTTGGTTTGTTCTTGTTTTTCTAGATCTTTAAGGTGAAGTGTTAGGTTGTTTATTTGCTGTCTTTCCATTCTTCTGAAGTAAGCATTTAATGTGATAAATTTCCCCCTTAGTACCACTTTTGCAGTATCCCACAGGTTTTGGTATGATGTGTCATTATTTTCATTAGTTTCAAGAAACTTTTTGATTTCCTTTTTAATTTCTTCTTGGACCCATATGTCATTAAATAGAATGTTGTTTAATTTCCATGTGTTTGTATAGTTGCAAGGGTTTTGTTGGTTATTGATTTCTAATTTTAGTCCACTGTGACCTGAAAAAATACACGGAATAATTCCAATTTTTTTGAATTTCTGGAGACTTCCTTTGTGAGCTAAACTATCCTGGAGAATGTTCCATGTGCTGATGAGAAGAATGAGTATTCTGAGATTTGGGGATGGAATGTTCTGTAGATATCTGCCAAGTCCAATTGGTCTAAGGTGTTGTTTAGATCTTATGTTTCTCTATTGATTTTTGGCCTAGATGATCTATCCAATGTTGAGAGTGAGGTGTTCAGGTCCCCCACTATTGTGGTGTTAGTGTCTATCTCATTCTTTAGATCTAATAGTCTTTGCTTTATAAATCTGGCTGCTCTGACATTGGGTGCATATATATTTATGATTGTTATGTCTTTTTCTTGATGGATAGATCCTTTTACCATTATATAGTGGCCTTCTTTATCTCTTTTTATTGTTTGTGCTTTAAAGAATAGCTACTCCAGCTCGTTTTTCATTTATATTTGCATGATATATCTTTTTCCACCCTTTCACTCTTAGTCTATGTGTGTCTTTACAGGTGAGGCAAGTCTCTTGAAGGCAGCATATTGTTGGGTCCATCTTTTTATTCTAGTCGGTCAGTCTGTGTCTTTTGAGTGGGGAATTTAGTCCTTTTACATTAGAGTTATTATTGAAAGGTGTTGATTTACTCCTAGCATTTGATTAATTTTTGTTTAGATGTCTTAAGTATTTTTGTTCCTTTCTTTCTGATGTTCTGTTTGTCTTCTGTATTTGTTGGTTTCTTGGGGTGGTAGATAAACTATTTTTTTCTTTATTTTTAGCATTTTTGTTTTACTTGTAGGTTTTGCTCTTTCTTGAATATTCATGGCAGTGATGGTTGTTTTTCAGGTATCAAACCCAGTACTCCCTTGAGAATTTCTTGTAAGGCTGGTCATGTTGTAGTGAACTCTCGCAGTTTTTGTTTGAGTGAAAAATATGCTATTTGACCTTCATTTCAGAAGGATAGCCTTGCTGGGTAAAGTATTCTTGGCTGACAATTTTTATCCTTTAGTATTTTGAATATATCATCCCATTCTTTTCTGTCTTTTAGGGTTCCTGATGAAAAGTCTTATGTTAGTCTGATTGGTGCTCCCGTATAGGTGACTTGCTGCTTCTCTCTTGCAGCTTTTAAGATTCTGTCTATGTCTTTGAGTTTTACCAGTTTGACTATAACATGTCTTGGAGAGGACCTTTTTGGGTTGAATATGTTTGGGGATCTTTGGGCCTCCTGAATCTGAAGATCTGCGACTTTCCCTATACCTGGGAAGTTTTCTGCTATTATTTTGTTGAATATGTTTTCAGTGCCATTTCCTTTTTCATCCCCTTCTGGAATACCAATGATTCGGATATTTGAGTGCTTAAGGTTGCCTGTTATCTTTCAGATCTTCTTCAATTGTTTAAATTGTTCTTTCTTTTTTCTGGTCCTCCTGTGTTAATTCATGGTCAGAAATTCTCTCTTCTGCTTGTTCTAGCCTGCCAGTTGGACTCACTGTTGTGTTTTTTATTTCATTGAATGAATCCTTCACCTCCACAAGCTCGGCTACTTTCTTTTTCAGGGCACTGATTTCTTTGTACATTTCTTCTTTCAGGTCCTGCATATTTTTTCTCATTTCATTTTGTTGTCTGAGTTTTCTTGTATCTCATTTAGTTTCTTTAGAATTGTTGCTCGAAATTCCTTGTCAGTCATATCAAAGACTTCCTGTTCTATAGGATCTAGAGCTTGAGAGTTATTATTTTCCTTTGGTGGTGATGTACTTTCTTGATATTTCATATGTCTGGTGTCTTTGGTGTTTAGTCTTTGTGGCAGGGGGTATCATGGTCCACACGTTCCACCCTGATGTCTGGCCTCGATCCTGAAGGGACTGCCAATTCTAGGCAGCAGGGACTGGCTTGTACTGGGGGTCCTGCAGTGCCTGCCTTTTCCACTGTGGCTGTCTCAGGGTGTGTGGGCTTGGCCACTCTTGGGCCTCCCTCAGGGGCAGGGACTGGCCTGGGCTGGGGTCCTGCAGCATCTGCCTGTTCTGGTGTGGCTGACTCAGGGCAAATGGGCACAGTGGCTCCTGCGCCTCCCTGGGTGTCAGGGACTTTCCTGGGCTGGGGGTCCCGTGGCAGCTGCCTGCTGCAGCACAGCTGACTTGGGGTGTGTGGGGCCCAGCAGCTCTCAGGCCTCTCTGGGCAGCAGGGACTGACCTGGGCTGGGGTTCCTGCAGCACCTGGCTGTTCTGGCATGTGGGCCTGGCAGCTCTCAGTCCTCTGTAGGCAGCAGGGACTGACCTACGTTGGAGGTCCCGTGGTGCCTTCCTGTTCTGGAGTGTCTGACTCGGGGCTTGTGGGCCTGGTTGCTCTCAGGCATCTCTGGGCGGTGAGGACTCAGTTATTTTTGAATAGTGAGTTATAAGTGATTTTTATACTTGTTTATATTATCTGAGTTTTAAAGAAGAATATATATTTTCTTATCACATTTTTATAAGAAAATATGTTATTTTTATACCTATGCTACAACTTTGATATGCAATGAAAACAGTGCAATATTTGCTGATACTCTACTACATGAGAGAAGGTGTCTGAGAAGTGTTTATGAAGCTAAATTCACAGATTCTTTGCTTTCATTCTGTTATGTGGTTAGAGTTCGTTTCCTTAACTCTTTATTAGCTGTCTTAGAAATGTGAAGCTGCTCATTCAGCTAAAGTACATTGCATTTTTTGGAAGATCAAAGGACATATTCTATTAATGACAGTTGTGTGGTACCTTTGTGTATAGAACTTATGTATTTACTTTTGATAGTTGTCAAAATCATGTACTTTGACATAAATTATGTTTATTGTTTTTACAGTTTATTTAATTTTTAGGAGTCAATTTTGAAAGCATTTTCCATTAAAATTTTATTTCAGGGCCGGCCCGGTGGCGCACTGGATAGTGCGCCGCTTGGGAAGCGCGACGGCGCTCCCGTCTGAGGGTTCGGATCCCACGTGCAGACCGGCTCCCGCTCACTGGCTGAGCGAGGCGTGGGAGCAACACCGAGGCTTGCAATCCCGTTGCCGGTCCCGGTCCGGTACAGGGGCAACACTGAGGGTTGCGATCCGTTGCCGGACACGGAAAAAAGACAAAAGACAAAAAAAAAAAAAAAAAAAAAAAAAAAAAAATTTTTTTTTT